CTATCGGTCAGTCTGAGTCACTGAGCAACTGCCCTGATGTCTGACTGAATGACTGTTGACTGACTGACTGCATTGATTGACTGATGCATTGATTGACTGAGGTTCACAGACAGATTAACCTGTTGAACGGCCGACAGTTTATTTAACTATCTGATTGTCTGAATGAATGAAATAATGTTGGATCGATTGATTGATTGATTGGTTGACTGACTGATAGTCCGACTGAGTGACAGATTAAACGAGTGAACAGCAGACAGTTTATCTAATTATCTAATTGACCTGTTGACCTGGTAACTCATTGACCGACTGACTGATTAACTCATCAGCTGACTCAGTGGCCATCGGATTGACTGACCAACTGACTGTCTGGCTAACTGACAGATTAAACGACTAGACGGCTGACATTTTATTTCGTTATCTAACTGACTGACTAACCGGGTAACTGACTGACTGACCCACGGACGGACTGACTCACCCACTCACACTCCGGCTATCTGACCGACTGACCAACTGACTGTCTGCCTAACTGGCAGCTTAATCGACTGAACCGCTAACAGTTTTTTAATCATCTAATTAACTGAATGAATAAAATAATGGCTGACTGATTGACTAGGTGACTGATTAACTGGGTGACTGATTGACTGGTTGACTGGTTGATCGACTGACTGACAGTGTAACTGACTGATCGACTGACTGACCGGGTAACTGACTGACCAGCTGCATGACAGACTGTCTGGCTAACTGATGGATTAACCACCTGACTGGCTGACTGTTTATTAATCTGACTGACAGACTGAATGACTGAAAAAATTACTGACTGATTTACTGACTGAATTATTGATCGTTTGCATGGCTAGCTAGGAGATTGATCAACAGTAAAACGAAAACGAATGTTAGGCTATATTATATGGACTTTTTTTAGCTTAACATCTTCATAACATGGAAAGATGGCTCAATTGTGTGCACTTATCAAGGTGTGCATCTTCTCGCAAAACATTAACCTATCCTTACCTTGGAAAATGTAGCTTTGAAATGTACTATCATTCGTTGCAGAGAAGGACACAGGAAATTTTGATAAGGAAGGGGGCTGGAGGGGGGGGGGTGGGTGTAAAAAATTTCTTTTGCTTTTAAATTTCAAATAACAATTTTTATCTTTCTCTCCCCTCTATGTATTCCCTTTTTTAGTAACGAATAGCCAATCACGTCAAAGAACTCTAACCTCGACATTGGAAAACTGAAGTGGACATTTTCCTCGTGCTTTTGCTGTTTGTTTTAACTGAGTTTACTTGGATTTTTTTAGCTTTTGTTCGCGCAAAGTTGTTACCACTTTGTTTGCAATTTTACCAAGTCTCGGAATTTTTATTCGAGTTAACTGTTGTGGTTCATTTAATTAGTTTAAAATTTATTTTCTACGTAGTTTGAACTCTAGCCCCTGTTTTCGTAAATGAGTTTTCTAACAAAGGGGTCCAAAATTTAAATCAGAAAACAAACAATTCTTTTTAACTTTAGAGCTTTAAGTAGACCAGGAAATATTTCTAGACAAGTAAATCTGCATACCCAAAGTAGTATGTATTTTATCTTTCTTTATCTATCAAGAATCTTAGCGTCATAAAAGAGGTGAGAGCCCCACAAGTTTGAATAGGAGGAGACGGTTCTGATCTCCTACATTTCCCCACTGTCGCTATACCTGTGCAGTGACGTCCATTCCCAGCGTACTTTTCCTTGCAGTGACACTTTTTATCGCGGCATTCGGCATTTCTATCGCAGTCCTTGGACGAATCACACGGATGTAAATCTGTTTTAAAACAATAGTTATTTAGCTGACTGTTACTAGCAGTTGACAGAGAACAATTAACTACCATTACAAATTTTGAATAGCATATTTAGCATTATTATATAGATACTGATGAAATACCAGGATTTTTCCTTTTACTAAAAAATTATATCTTCATCGCGCGCAGTGAAGATACTATTTTTATCTTTCACGTGTGAGGATATTGGTGTCACCATGGTTACATGGCTAGCCAATTACAAGAGAGCTTCCCACTCAGGCGCGCGGCCGGTTCTTTTGAAATTTCACTCACAAAATGGCTTTGTGGTGCGAAGACGGTACAGTTACCGGTGACTTTCTCCAAATTTTCACATCGATACTTTTTCCGAGCTTGAAGAACATTCAGGAAGTCTCGGAAAGCGATGTTAAAAAATTTATTTATGTAGGAATTTCATCAGTATCTATAAAACAAACAGAACATCACATGGCCAAGCGACTAATGTAATATCCTCTATTTATCTCTCTCGCGTCGGAGCAAAAGGTCAAATGCTGAAAGTCGCAAAACTCGATCATTTTTTCTGTCGTTCTCTTAAAGAAGGAAGGAGGGGGGAACTTGGTTTTTATAGCCTTATGGGGATGTGTCGATGGATAGGGTCACTTTTTTACAACTGGATTGATTGTAATGGGGTTGCATTTTGGGTTTTTTCTTCGGGATTTTACGAGTAAGTTTACAAATTGTCAAGTCATTTAAGAACCACTTTCTAAAAAGGTTCCATAAAGTAGATGCATATACAGAAAGTGACTAAGTTGGAATAACAAGAATTAAATTTGCCCAAAGAAGACTATAGGCTAGAATGGGGGTTCTGAGAGGCCAGCGGCTTGTACCAAGCTAAAATCGACTCAAGTAATCCCCTTTTCCCCCTCTCACACGGACAAACACTTTCAGAAATTCTTAAAGTAATTTGGATTTGCTAAAACGGCAGTCTTACCAGGTCTCTTGCACTTAAAACCCTCACAGAGCTCAGCACCTTTACAATGCTTGTCAGTCACGCAGTCTGCAACAAATTTCGAGAAAAACATGCCCAGGTAATAACATGATTTCGAGTGCAATTTGGTGTATGCCCGGGCGAGTGCAATCTGTAGTCCTGAAAATTTACAAGTGCTTATTTAAATCAAATTGCGCAAGAAATCATGTTGTTACTTGATAATCATTAGCATGAAAAAAGCATCACAGAAAGTGAGGACAGACGAAATTTTGACAGCGCGCCTGCTATTTGTAATTTGAACTGGTGTTACAGCTTTGCACTCATGTTACAACTATCAGAAGCGCGTAATGCTTACATAGGTATTGTTAGTGTAACAGTTTTGTTGCGCGCGCATACTGACCATGCGCACTAGGTCTGTCACGGTTACACAACCTGAAAAAACTCGTCCTCCCCAAGTGGTCGACGACGAGTTTTTGGGC